CTACCACATGTACAGAATCTGCCTGAATTGCTCTGCATCTCACCATGGACTTGAAGTCAAGAGGAACTGATATTTGAGACTCATGGTGCTTGCTGTGCCATGAGAGTTAAAGTCCTCTCTCTCTAAACTGGGACAGTGGTTACTGAGTAGGTAAGCAGCTATTTCTGCTACAGTTGGGTTAGCCTATTTTGGTCCAATGACTGTTCTGTTTCTATGCTTCCAATAATAACTAAACTTCCCTAACTGAAATATAGTAGTTCTCATTGATGCTAACATGTAGAAAATATGCAGGCTTGATGTCACTGTCTTCCTTTAATAATGATGATTTTGTACATTCAACTTGGTGAACTTATATCTATTTCACAGTTTGACAGTAATTAATCTTATTCTGTTTCTATAGTGTCAAAGTACTCTAGTTATTGAATGCAGGGACTACAGAAGAAACCATCAGGATTAGATTTGGGCTTCTTGATTTATTGGACATCACATTTATTTTTCATTTATGAAAATAATAATAGTACTACTACTAATAATAACCTCAGAATTCTATTTAAGGATTAAATGAGATAATACATACATATAAAGTATGTAGAATGTAGTAAATATTTTTTATAAACTTAGTACTTGTTATTATATTCTTGTTATTATATTGTTGAGAAGATTAAATGATACAATATCATTACAACATAATATAATACTTATTCTAGTGCCTGGCAAATAAAAATGCTCAAAGATATTTTTACTATTCTAGTTGCTACAGTACTCTGTGACACTGTCTATTCGAGTGGCTGTTTCTCACATATGTTGCTTTTTAAAATCCTCCCTAATTTTCATATCCAAGATCAAAGTCTTAAAGCCTGCCTTAATCACTGATGCCAAAATTAAACACTTTCTTGGTTATATACCACTAGATTCAGTCTGCATCATTCATAACACTTAACCTACTATTTTCTCTATTAAGAGATATATAAACATTTTACTTCTTTTGTTAATTGTAAGCTTCTTAAAGGTTAAGATTACATTCTGTAAAACTTTTTATCTCATCCTTTACTTTGCACTAAGCAAGTGAGTGTTGAATATTTCCTGAATGACACATTTTTAAAAGCTCAACATTTCTTAACCTCGTTTCAAGCCTTTGCAAAAATTCATTGAGGGTTGAGGTTGTGACTCAGGGGTAAAGCACTTGCCTAGCATATGTGAGACACTGGGTTCAATCCTCAGCACCACATAAAAATAAAATAATAAAATAAAGATCTTGAGCCCACCTATAACTAAAAACCAAATATTTTTTTAAAATGCATTGAATCAACCTATTCAAATCAAGTTTCCACTTTTCCTTCCTCTTTTATCCATTTACTTAGAATCAAAAATGTGTATTTTCTTTGTTAGGGAATTTAAAGTAGACTTTTGTACTGTGCCCTTAATCATAATTAACTGCTTCTGGAAAAAAAAAAAAACAAGTGTTTCTCTAATTAACTGGATCTAAAAGCTTGAGTCTAAAAAAAAAAAGTAGATTTTTCTAAGCAAAATACACCTTCAATAACATTTGGCCCCAGCAGGCTGCCTGATTCCATCCACAGATGATGCTTAATCCATTCATTTAATGAAAGTAATTCCTGATAATCAAGATAAAAGTCAAGTACAATTCCAAGGTTCTAACTTAAAATGATGACACTGAAGAATGGATATGTAAATATGCATAGCCCTCTTCAAGGTACAAGGTATTTGGACAGCTGTTTGTTTATTCTGGACTCCAGCCTAGTTTTTTACTAACAAGATTTATTGTAAGTATCAAAGGGTAATTTTCTTTCATTAAATAACAGTATTACTGGAAATAATTTTAATGGTAGAAGCAGGGCAATTTTTCATAAATTATTAAATTAAATAAGTCAAAAGCGAGTGTATCTTCAGAGTAAAGGAAAAGAAAAAGTTTATTGTTATTTCTAAAACTAACCCTGTATCTAACAGAGGACCCATCCATCCACACTGCAATTATAGTATCTTATTTACTCAAAGGAAAATTGAGCAAGAAAGAATTAGGAATTCCAAATGTATGTAAATAACTCTGTGAGTATGTATTTGCTGGGTATTTTCAAAAATATATTTACCTCATCAATAATAAAACATTTTCTCTTATAAGAATTTCCTGGTTAATCCCAACAGGGTTGGAAACAAGCTAACAAAGATGTTCTTCCTTCTCAGACATTTCTAATCAAAGGGTAAAATTCTTATTTTAATGCTTTGAAAATGCCTTAATCAAAAAAATCACTTTTCTGTTCTTTTTTATGGCACTATTTTGATAGCACTAACTGAAAAGAGTTTTATTCTCTTACAGTATTTTAAAAATTCATTATCTCAACTTATGTTTGATTAGAGACTAAGAATACCATTTAGAGTTATAAAGGTCCTAGATTACATATCCGGAGAAAATTGACAAAGGCAAGCTCAGCTTGTTGATTCTAGAGATAAAACTTAGTTTACTATATAATCTTGTCAGAAAATTCCAGATTTGTGTTGGTTTCAATCCTTACTTTCATTGGCGGGCCAATTTTATTTTTATATCATTTTTGTTTATTTTATTCATTTTAGTCTTTTGGTCTTTGTTTTATGATCCCTAAATAACATGAATTAAGCAACAAAAATACGGGTTTCCTTCCTGGAGACAAAGAAGTATGTTTCCAGAAAGTGCCACAAACTTTGGCTGAAGCTTCGCCATCAAGTTTAATGGGGTTCCAGCTGCCAAAACCCCATGAAGCCTTTGAATATTTAGGGCTAACTGTATTGGCCACTTGTTCTCCTTCCCTGGGAGTCCTCAGGAGCTCTTATTTGCTGCTTCCCAGATTTCTGCCAGCCTGATTGTTCTCGGTTCTGTTGATGGTGCTTTCTGGCCCACTCTTGTGTCCCTGTTCTCCAATATTGTTCACAATGTTGAGGAGATTATGACAAGAAAGCATGGCCTTTTTCTTTTCTTTTTTTTCTCTTCTTGATGCTTATTTACTCATTTGCTAAGAAAAACAAGTTGCATCACAGAAGGGGGAACTCCTTACTGGTTTCTTTTGATAAAAATGCAAAGACGAAACCCATCCATACAGAACAGAAAAAAAATGTTAAACTCCTTGTCAAGACAACTTCTAAAGAAATACCTTTTTACATAGGTGTTCATTATTGAGATCTGCTTATTGCCCCTAATGTGATCATACTCATCTCAACTTCTCCCCACTGCTGATTAAATAAGAGGGAAATTATATTTGAAAATCTATGGGATTTGTCAGTTAGAAAATATGCTTTTGCTTACTATCTGAATGTACCAAAACTAAATATACAGTGAGAATGTGTTTTCTTCTCAAATTCTGGTTAATTTTGAGACTGTGCTTTTTGTTTTATCTTGGAAGATTAAATACATTGTTTTCATTCTACCTTCTATTTTTGTGAAATTTCACATTGAAAACAATGTGCACTATTAATGATAAGGGAATAGTTAAAAAATAAGGTAATAATTTCATCGAATTCAAAGGGTTAAATATTGAATAGATATTAAAGTCTATACCATGCATAAAACAAGGTGTCAGTTGTTTTTTTTTTTTTGTACCAGGATTTGAACCCAGGAGCACTTGACCACTAAGTCACATCTCAAGTCCATTTTTGTATTTTATTTAGAAACAAGTCTCATGGAGTTGCTTAGCATCTCACCATTGCTAAGGCTGGCTTTGAACTCTTGATCCTCCTTTCTCAGCCTCCTGAGCTGCTGGGATTACAGGTATGTGCCACTGTGCCCAGCTAGGTTGCAAGATTTTAAAAGTAATTAAGGAGTTATGTTTTTACAGTGTTCTAGAATCTATCCAAAATGTTCTTATTATTCTAGAAATGTGTACATTTAAAAAAAAAAGAATGGCAGTATTTATTGTCTTCATTATGTGACATGTGAAAAAACAAGATGTATTAGAGTCATGCTATTTCAAAAACACTTGTAAGCTGAGCGCTAGATATAGGCGTTTATTTTTAAATTTGACTTCAAAGGTACTTAATACAAAAGGATGAACTTAATCGCATTAACAAAGTGTTTGGTTGTTGCTGCTAGATTTATAAAAATATGACAAGAAAACCACAAATAATGAGTAAGCTCCTGAAATTTTTTCAGGATTTAATGAAGTTACTTTTCATGCAAACATCCACTTATAAAATTCATACAGATTATGAACACTTACCATATTCACTGTCATAGAATATAATGAATTTCTGCCAGGCATACTCTGTGACCACTCTTAGGATAACCTCATTCAAGTAGACAGGTGGACGAACCGAGAGAGTATAATCATCATTCCTGTTGCTCCTGGTGAGGCCACAGCCACTTCTTGGGGTCCCAGCTGTTGAGCGCTGAATGAATAGGTGGGGAATGTGCATGGCATCTGCCAAAGACTGGAGGGACCCTGCTGACGTGCAGCCAATGGAGCTGACCAGGGCCAAGATGCCTTGATTCATAAGTTCACAGGCTGCAAGAGAGCATAGTAATATTGAAGAGGTCAATGGGTTTTTGCATATTTTCTCTTTCATTTGACTATGCTAAATAAATAAATAAAGGAACATTCTATATGAGGGGTTCCACAAGTTATAAAGCGCTGTTGGAAAGCAGTTTAAGAATTCTGATCTTATTAACTATGTGACTATGTGCAAATTACCTTCTAGTGGCTAAATTTCGCCATCTGTGAAAAGGGTAAAATAGCACAAGTCTAAATAGGATTATTGCAAGGATTAGAGATAACAAAGTATCTCTTTGAGTCCCACAAGCTAGCTATTCAAATAATGGTAGCTAAATTTCTACAATCATCAATTACATTTCAGAGAAAGGATGATTCTTTGATAAGTATATAATATGAAGTTTCAAAAAATATATAATATGTAAACTGTGAATAAATGAAGGTTAAATGAAAGATTTGGTGATACTTTTTCTCTCAAAAAACTGGAGAGATGAAAATTTTTTTGTTCTTTTCCTTGACAGTCAGAAAAATCTCAGGCAAACAAAATACTAAATTTTAACAACTACCTTATTCTGGTTCCCAGATAAATAATTTCTAGTTTCTACCAATGGGATTATGACCTCTGTTGAAAAGTAAATTCAGAAAGAATCCAGATAACACTATTACCATTTGAGAAGCTCAGTTTTTATAATTACTTATAAATCTAGATATTTTTCTAGATTTATAAGTAATTATAAAATTGCCTCATGAGAGATGTTATATTGATTTCAAATAAATATAAAAGACAGCATCAAGGATGAATGCTTCTTAAATCATAATTGATTGAGGTTGAAGTTTTAGAAAAAAAATCACATTCAACTCATGTTCTTCAACTTAACATGCATAGAAAGCAATATGAGTTTATACATGTAATTTCAATAAATATATGCAAGAATCCTGGTTAAAAGTTTGTTTCATTATTGTCTTAAACAAGACTATACTCATAAAAGCAAGTGGAAATTAATTTTTCAAAGATTTTGTTTTAAAAGCTCATTTAGCATTTAAAGTCAAAATAAGTTTCTTAAAGTGTATTTGGTTACAGTTAATCTTTGGATTACACTAGTTACAAGTGATTAAGTAAATATGACATTTTATATACCTTCAACATGAAAGTTATAAAATTATACCTTAAAAATTTTGAAACAAAAGATTCAGCTTTAGTATTATGTTACATATAACATTACAGGAAAATTGTATGTTTTAATCTTCAGATTTAGAAGGAGAAATTTCAAATTTAAGAGTTATACATTAATCACAAATAACAAATCAATTTGATTTAGCATATAATCTTATTTCTTCCAAGCAATGCATTTACCCATGAATAATTGCAGTCTGAAAATATTAAATGGAAAATTCCAGAAATAATCCATAAGTTTAAATTGCATGCCTTTCTGATAGCCTGATGAACTCTCACACTATCCTGCTCCATCACGCCCAGGCTGTGAATGATCTCTTCATCCACACTACCCATGAGACAGTCATTTAGCAGCCATCTCAGTTACAAGATAGACTGTCAGGGTGTCACAGTGTGGTGTCCCAATAAGAAGGTCAATAGGAACCTAATGTGATGTCACATGCCTAGGCCATTTCCCTTATTTATTTCATCACGTAGGAATTGACCATCTTACATCATCATAAGAAGGGTGAATACTGTACAATAAGGTATTTTAAAAGAAAGACCACATTGGTGTAACTTTTATAACTTTTATATAGTTGTTTTCTTTTTTATTATTAGTAATCATTTTTAATCTCTTACTATGCCTGATTCCTAAATCCAAATTTAACACAAGCATGTGTATAAGAAAAGACATAAGATGTAGTGTTTGGTACAATCTCTAGTTTTTGGCATCCATTGAGGTCAGTTAGTTTCATTAGCAAATGTATCATTTTTAAATTACTATTTGGTATTACCCATCCTGCATTTTGGTGTTACCCATCCTAGCAAAAATAAATAAAATTTTCCTATGAAATCAAAATAGAAACTATCAAAAACTATAGTCAGAAACATAACATGTTAGATCTAAATGGTAATTGAGACATCACATATTCCAAATATGCAAAATCAACTTTAACTGCTATGCTAACTATGATTTGTTCATATAGCATCCTGGAACTCTATTCTAATAAAGATTCTAAAACTCAATAAAAAAGAAAGCACTATAATTATCTTGTGAGGTCTCTCATAGGAAGAGATTGGGATATTAGTAGGCTGCAAATTATAAACATGCTTTCCTCTTGTAGTGCCCAACCCATTAATTCTCACAGTTGGGAAGAAATCACATATATCTCCTACAAAGAAAAAAGGAAAGGAAAGAAATAGAAGAGGCTGATTTCTAACTATAGCCCAAGATCCTTTTCAACACAGCAAACAAACAATGGAGAATCTTTTGTTTGTAAACAACATTTTGCATGGCAGAGAAAAGATAGAGATTTCCATAAGGAAAACCTCATTTGGAGATTGTCTGTTAAAAGATGAAATCATTTAGAGTTTTAGTTCCACAGGATGCATACACCAGTACATAAGATGGAGTCTGAGAACTGAGCTAGGAAGATCAGAGTGTGCTTGTGCGTTTCCACTTTTTTTTTTTTAAATGAATGTAATCCAAACCAAGGAATTCTCAATTGCACCTTTCTTCCCCACTATTATTTCGACCTCTGTGATTTATTTATACTATGTATGTATGTACATACTCCACATCCATACATAGAGACAGTATTGAACAGCTTGTGGTTTTGTGACTCCAGCTGTTTGAGATTTTAACACTATCAAAGATGTCTCGAGCTTGTACTAATTGCTGAAAGCACACTTTTTTTTATTTATTTGTTTGTTTTTTAATATTGTTTGCAATAAGTAACACTTTCGACCCATTTTGGTCATTCAGCATTTATGGAAATAAAGTTGGTTGAATACATGTATACACTTAAGTTAAATAAAGTTCATGTGCACTATCTTTTGCATTTCTAAAACTAAGCAGTTTAAGTCTTCTTTTTCTTTTAAGTGCTGTGAAATGGGTTACCTTTTACTAAATACTCAATGAGAACTTGGTGGAATGTTTGGGGATGACATCATCCACTCACAATACAAATATTCCTTGTGATATTTTTTTCTGATTTATTTGTAAGGACCAGTTTACCTTGATATGACTTCTTCCTTGGATCTCAGCAGGACGTTAGCACATACCTTTCACATGTTTTTATAGGCCCCCCAAAGCTAATACTGTTATAAACTTGATCCCCAATGCAGTGGTGTTAGAAGCGGTAGCTTGATGGACATGTTTGGATCATGGGGACACTGCCTTCATGAATGAATGAAGCTGATGCTGTCATTGCAGAAGTGTGTTCCTTGTAAAAGCCTGAGTTTCTTGCCCCTTTCTCATTACTCTATATTCTACCACGGGATACAGAGATAAGCAGACCCTATTCCATTCCAGCACCTTGATCTTACACTTCCCAGCCTCCAGAATTGTGAAAAATAAGTTTCTATTCTTTATAAGTTTTCCCAGTATCTGGTATTCCGTGAGAGCAGCACAAATGGACCAATATAGTAAAAAAGACTAAACATTGGAATCCCTTCCCACAATACTCTGTGCTCCAAATGCCAATGTACAACTTCCTATTGTGGTACTGGGATTATTATTATTATTATTATTATTTATTTTTTTGGTAGCTGTTAGTTTTCAATTATCAGCAGATTTTTTTTCTGGTCACATTAGTGAGACTGCCTTAAAACTATAAAAAGGAAGTTCACACTAAAAACAAAACAAAACAAACTTTTGAAAACCCAGATTTTTGGCCTTAATTCCCTGAGGCACATAAACTGTACCTCGAAAATTTCTAGGCACACTCGAAATATATTTTTATTCTTAGTGAATACTCCAAAAGCAGGTAAAAGAATCGTCTTAACCATCTGACAGTGCTTGACAAGGCATGATAAAAATCAAATGGCTTTTCGAGTCATGAAGCACAAAATCATCAACTAGCATTTATTCCAATTTTTAGAGAATCATTATAATTTCTATTATTAATTTGAAGCAGAACTTACATATTTGAGTATCACCCTTTCTCTGTTACTTACATGAAAAATATCTGCTTTTAGTTTCTATATTAAATTTATTACAATTTGTTTAGCTCTTCAAAAGCTTAAAAATTCTTTCACAATAAAACTGTCAAATATTTATACTCAGTAATGTTTTGCTTTATACTATGTTTAGAAAGACCTTCTTCCTACAGTCAGCAGATTTACAAAATGATCAGTCTATGTAAAACATCTTCCCAAGCTATACTCTATAACTGAGCAAAGCCTTACTGAAAACATGGCAACTGGATTTCAGAAAACTAAATGAATGTAGAATGTTTTATCTGGTAAAATATGACCTTTATCTCATAATCCCAGCAAGCAAAGAGTAAGAATTAATATAATTGTGAAAAGAATGGTAATCCAGATCATATTACAGGTTTGTCTTTGAAACTTTCCCCATACTTTTATATACATTCTAGGTATAAAACTACTATTCTTAAAAGATAGCACAAAAGGATTTTGAAAGTTTTCACCAAAAAGAAATAATAAATGTTTGAGAAAATAGATATGTTTAACCTGATTTAAACATTATGCAATGTATTTATTCAATCAAAACATTATATGGTACACATTAGTGTGTACCATTTTATGTTTTTATGTATAAGTTAAAAATAACTTCAGAAAGGATAGAATTACTGTTCTTCATAATAGGGAACTTCTCAGATTTAGAACTGATTCTTTCAAAATGAGTGACAGAATATTTAATATATTCCAACAAATTATATCCTATAAAAAATTTAAATAAGATCTCACTACAAAGATATAGATAGCAATGCATTTATGTTTCTGTAAGAAGAGAAAATGACCCCAAACAATATTTTACATTACTTTCTCAATTATTGTTACTTTGCTATCTTTCCAGATAGCATTGCCAAGACTCAGAAGTCATCTTTACTTT